AAGCAAAAGCCAAGTACAATTAATTGCGCTGTGCCAGTGCTGGAAAGGAGTCTCCTATTAATCAAAATTAGCTACCTTTCCAACCTAGCCATACCGATCATCATTCCGGAAGGATATATATATATATATATATATATATATATATATATATATATATGTAAGTCAAACAAAATACAGTATCAAATAATGACAGATCATAATATAGTTATAGCGTCAAACAATATCTGATAAGAGAGTTATAAATACAAACAATAACAAATATTGAAAAAAATAAACAAATATTGACTAAAAGATAAACTAAATACTAACAAATAAAGACAAGATAAAAAGATAAACTTGACTAAAGTAAGCAAAGAGCAAGCAAGATATGAACAATACATAGTAAATGGAAAAACATAGGTTAGTGTGTAATTTTCAAGTTTTTGTCATAATTTACATTTGAATAATAGTTAGTTAAATAGTATTGTAGATTTGATTATAAATTTTATAAAAAAATTATTTAAAAAAACAAAAAGAAAGAGAAAAAGTAGTGGTTGAACAATTCCAAAACTTTGAAAAGCATTGCAACAAAAATATTGTGAAAATAATTGAAATTTTTGACTACTTTCAACAACAAATTGCATTTGTCACAAAACAAAATTAATTTACTCAGCTCTCAAATTTTGAATAAAAGAGAGTCAGATCCTTTTGTTCAAAATATTTATCATTAGATAACGATTTTGATTCAAAATCAAGAAGAATTGTTAAAACAAGTCCAAAAACTTTAAAGATTAAGGCCAACTTTTGAGGAACTCGTCTCATGGCAGTCACTTTGAAGTGAGGCATGCCTGTTCCTTTGTTTGATTCAATTACTATCCCTCCATTTGATTTCAAGATTTTCCAATCCAACAGAGTCAATATTATCATAAAAATTGCAGTTGTATGATCTTCATATTGATCTTGACCATTTTTATACTCCTTAGAGTAAAATTGTAGTAGTTGAGTGTATCTTGTCTAAGGTGTGAAGGGTTTAAAAATAAAATGGTATTAGAGTTATTTCATTTATATATTTGTATATGGTATAGAAAATGAACAAATTTTAGTCTACAGACAGTTTTTTCTTTGCAAAGATCTAGTTTGTCTAATATTCTTGTCAATAAGTCTAACTCTATTAAATACATTCCTAAAGGCTCAAAGTTTTAGTTACATAAATTTTCTTGTCTTTTTTGTCTAAAAGATAAGTTACTATTTGTCCAACTTGTTTTACTACTTTGTCAAAATAGTTAAGT